GGGAGCTCTGATGGCAGCATCTTATTCCAGGTCGATGCTTTTTTCCTTTGTTGCTGTCGCCTCTTCCCAACCTTTCAGACCTCGGAGCAGGGATTTAGTTTGGAAAAGAGCAAACCTGCTTTTTTTTTTCCCCAAAGCAGATGAGGGCAGAGGCTGAGAATTCCCAAACTCTCCTGGAAGTTGTCTCAAATAACGGCTGCATTTTTTATGAACATCTTGTGACAAAAGCTATGACTTTACAAAAATCAGGCAGAGATGTACAAATTGTCCTGCTGTATCCAAGTGCTGGAAAACGAGGCTGCCATCAGAAAACAAAATGATGTTTTGCCTGAGTGGTCACATATGTCAGATAATCAAAAGTAGGAGGTGCTTGGCTGGTTTTAATCCACTTTGGTCCAAGTTTTCCCGTTTGGAGGTGTCCAGTTGATGGTCTGTCACCTGTAGGACACGGCAACCCAAAGAGGACTGGATTTTTTTGGGTGGGGAGGGTGCTGGGGGCTCCTCCTGCACCGTGGGGCACAGCTCAGCTTGGGAGATGAGGTTGGAAAAATACAGTTTACATCTGGAATTGCAGAGGTCATTTTTCCTGCAGCGCAGCTCTTCCAATGTCAGATGGGCTGAAGCCATTTCAAACCCTTCAGAAGTCACTTGCTGCTCTATTTAAAAGAAAAATAATCGTATTTAGTAGAGGATCTTTTTAAGATAGACATTATCAAGTGTTGCTGCATTTGCCATCCAGTCACAGTAGCATTTTGTTGCTGTTGTTTTTAGGGAATGTGAGTTTTGGTCGTGAGCAGGCTCTCCTTGGCTTTCAAGACTTCTTTTATTTCTTGGATTCTTGGGGGATTTGAGGTTGTTGGTGTTTTTGGGTTGGGGTTTTTTTGGATTTTTTTTTAATACAGTCTGGTCATAAAAAGACGGGGGGGCAGAGAGAGGAGGAAGAAAAAAATTCCAGCAGTCCTGGCTGGCAGTTTATTGGAGTGGTTTGGGCTTTTGCAGCTTGCTGGTACAGCTTGGCTTGTGTTCCTCAATGCTCTTTCTAGACCAAAGATGGTTACTTTTCTCACCATTTCCCTGAGAGCCATATTTTGGGAGGGACCAGTTGTGTGGAGCATCTTGGGAGGTTGTACATGAGATCTGCCAAGGATTTGGGAGGCTGGGGCACTCTGGTGCTTCTCTCTGACTTAAACATACCCTAAACCAGCTCAATTTTGGTGTTTTTAGGGAGACATGGGTTGCTCCTGGCGTGCCTGGCTTGTTTATAGAGCAAATTCAAAGCAATATTAATAATTAATATCTATTTTAAGTTGGCTTGTTCTGTGCTACTGAGCTGTCCTTGGCTGGTCCCTCACATCCTGCCCTGCTGGGTCCAAGGAGGTCCCATCCAGGGCCTTCCTGGTCTCTCCTCCAGCTCTTAGGGAGCCCTTTCTGGGAGAAAAAGAGGAGATCCTTCTCCATCCATGGTCTGCCATCACCATGGGTGAGGCTTCCTTCAGGTGCCTGAGCAATGAAGTTTATTCTGTGAAGCACATTTTTCTCAGTAATTCTCCCAGATCCAGAGTGGATCTGCATTTGCCAGGGCAGACTCCATCCCTTCTCCAGCAGAGATGGGTGGTGGGATGGTTGGAAGAGGTTTTGGGGGCTCTCAGGCTTGGCTGTCGAGGGGTCATCCCTGACCTCCTCACAGGGTGTCACCTTTGCCTCCTCATCAACACCAGGCAGAGATCCCAGTCACCTGCCCTGGGGTCCCTGAGCATTCCCAGTGCCTGGAGATCCTGCTCTGGGAGCAGGGTGGCTCTGGAGGCTGCAGGTCCCGTGGGATGCAGAGCAGCTGTGCTGCTGGTGTGGCTGGAAGTGCAGGGGAAGGCAACCCAGCCCCAGTTTTGCTGCTCTGGAGTTGAACTTCGTGCACCAAACATCTCTTTGGATGTGGGAGTGGAGATCTGAGCAGCATCAGGAAGGAGAGGGTCACACCAGAGCATCCCTGTGCTCCCTGCAGTTGCCCTCCACTAAGGATGGGTTCACCTCCCAGCTCCGAAATGTTAAGTGTGTGTGACCATCCAAGCAGAGCAATTGAACCAAACTGGAGAGCAGGGGCAGAACTAAAAACACCCTGGGCAAGGCAGAAGTGAGCAAAGGGAGGCCCCACCCTCTTTCCCAGAAAAAAGCACCAAACATGCTCAATAAATGCGAAGGTAATTTAAAATCTGAATCCAGGAGACAATGTGACTGGGATTTCATTACTTAAGCAAATGGATTTGCTTTTAGTGGATTCAGCCACAGACTGAAAGAAGCTTTCCCCAAGGGGTAAACATTTTTCCTGCATTTGAAAGGCTTTCTTGTATTGGGGAGGGGCTGGGGGGGGCAGGAGGCAGGACTGTGGCTGCCCAAGGAGCACCTTTATTTTGGGCAGATTTGGGCATTCCCAAAGCTCTGCTTTTGGGTGGGTGGTTTTGGGGAGCTCTTGGGGTGGGATGCTGGGGCAGGTGGGATGCTGGGGCAGATGGGAGGATGCTGGGGAGGATGCAGGGGTTGCTGGGGGGGATTTAGGGGATGCTGGGCGGGATGCAGGGGGTGTTGGGGGGGATGCAGGAGAATGCAGGGGACATGCTAAGGATGCTGGAGGGATGCAGGAGGATGCTGAGGAGATGCAGGGGTGATGCAGGAGGATGCTGGGGGGATGCAGGATGATACTGGGGAGATGCTGAGGGCATGCAGGAGGATGCTGGGGAGATGCAGGACGATACTGGGGGGATGTAAGAGTGATGCAGGAGGATGCTGAGGATACAGGCGATGCAGGAGGATGCTGAAGGGTACAAGGGATGCTGGGGGGATGCTGGGGATACAGGAGAAAGCTGGGGGGATGCAGGGGATGCTCCCCACCCCTGCTCAGTGCCTTCCTCCGGCCGCAGGAGTTAACCAGCAGCAGTGCCAGCTCTGCAGACTGTTTGGAATAGTTTAAATGCTTTGACACTCTGGATGTACTAGATGGCAGGGGAGGCAGTTTACAGCGTAATTCATATGCAAAACTGCACTATAAATTTAAAACCTGTCTCAGTTGCCGTGGCACCACTAAGCATTTCATCAGCATACAGTACAGTATTTCTGCCATCTTTGTTTGCATTGCAGTGACTCATCAAAAGTCTGTCTTGTACCAACACTGAGAGCATTCCTCTGGCACTGATATTTCTCTGTTTTTAAAGCTTCGGTTTGAAACTGGCATTTACTTCAGGTCCCTAATCAAAGGGCTCTATTCATTGCAGAGAGCAGCCTGAATGTTAATCTGCATCCGGCCTATTCATTTAGATGCTGTGCGCTGCCGGGGAGATTTGACTTGGTAAAAGCTTCAGCTCCAGCAGATACAAACCCAGGGCTTGATACTCTATTTCCCCCCCCTGCCCTGAGCCCTCGGCGGCAGCGATCGGGGGACCCGGAGCCCCTCGGCGAGCGGGACGCCTGCTCAAGGTTAACGTTCCGCTCCCAGGCCGAGCGAAGGCACGGGCCCAAACTTCCTCGGCTTGGAAGAAATTTTTCGTTTTTCTTTTGTTTTTTTTTTATTTTAAACCATGGCAGATACAATTAAGATTGGCTCCGAGTTGGTGTTTCCTTCTTCCTGTTACCGCCGTGGCTTGGCAGATAGGGACTTTTTTTTGTTTTTTTATTTGTTTTTCCTCATTCTTTTTTTTTTTTTTCCTCCCCAGCAATGGGAACAGAGCGGCTCTTTGTGGGTTATTATTTTCTTTGCAGAGATTTTTTTCTTTTTTTAATCTTTCGCAGATAAACTTCTATTCCCCCCCCCTCTTTTTTTTTTTTTTTTTTTTTAAAATACGTTCTTCCGAAGCTTTCGGTACTAGTTAAAACCGGAAAAGTTTTGCCTTTCAGTAGTGTTTGAAAGGAAGGAATTATTAAAACCCACTGGACTCCCTTCGGGGAAGGGAAAGCAAAGGGGAGGGGGGGGGTTGGGCCTTCGGTGTCGGGTGGAATCCCGCAAGTGGAGTTGCTGCCCGCTGAAGTTTTCGGAGCGTCGGGCGCGGTGGCATTACCGCCTCGCGGTTTGCACAGGGGTCCACTCCGCAACGCCCCAGGCAGCCTCCTTTCGGGTGGTGGAAGGCAGAATCTGCCCGCGGCAAACGGACGGCTGGCCGGAGGACGGGCGCGCCGGGAGAGCGGAGGCTCGGAGGCGGATGCGGAAGCCTCCAGCCGGCGGGGTTTTGGCTCGGAGGGTCCCTCAACGCCGGTTACCCGGGGGGGCTGGGGGGCACCGGGGGGCTCTGACCGCAGGAGGGGCTGGGCTGGGGCTCCCCCTGCCCCGCTTTGGGTTTAGGGGGGGTGAAAATTAGAAGACAACGTGGTAGGCGGCTCGCTGCAGCACTTGGTTTGTTTTATTGGGGCTCAAATATCTGGCTTAATTTGGAGCTAAGCCTCGTTTTGTTGGAGGATAAATCTGTTGAGAAGGGGTTTAACTGTTGAAATGCTCCCTCTTTCCGGTGCAAATGGGAAGATTGCTTTTCAAAGTGCTTTTTCCTGGGAGCTGTCGCTCCGGCAGAATCCTGCATTTATTTCGGGCAGAATGGCACATTGTTTTATAAATATCTTTTCTGTAGTTTCAACAGAGCTGCTGGTTGTTGTGTTTCTTATATAATGCTACCGGAGATCTGTCTGACTGTCTTTCGTTTGCTTTACTGTTCTCTCCCATTATCGTTCAGATTTTCCTGCGTAAAGTAAAAGCCCCGGGGGAATAAATCAGTGGTGCTTATTTAAACAGACTGCAACTTGAAGGAAATACTTGCATTTTTGGGGGAATATCCTTGGAATAGCGTTCCCAGCGTGGGTTGAAGACATTGATAAGTAATTTTTATGAGCGATTGCTTTTTCCACGTCGGCTCTCAGAGCTCATTTTGAGCCTTTGATGTCGGGTGAGGTGGGTTCCTCTGCTTCGCCTGCTCTGGTGAACTGTCTAAAAACGCTCTTCCTCTCTCCCTGCCTTCTCCCTCTTTCAGATGTGCCCTACTTTGGATATTCCTGCATTGAATGTCTGAGGAGCTCCAGCCGATCCTGAGCCATGTCGCAGATGTTGCACATAGAGATTCCCAACTTCGGGAACACCGTTCTGGGCTGCCTGAACGAGCAGCGGCTGCTGGGGCTGTACTGCGATGTCTCCATCGTGGTGAAGGGCCAGGCCTTCAAGGCTCACCGGGCGGTGCTGGCCGCCAGCAGCCTCTACTTCCGAGACTTGTTCAGTGGGAACAGCAAAAACGCCTTTGAGCTGCCGGGTACCGTCCCCCCCGCCTGCTTCCAGCAGATCCTCTCCTTCTGCTACACCGGGAAGCTGACCATGGCCGCGAGCGAGCAGCTGGTGGTGATGTACACGGCGGGCTTCCTGCAGATCCAGCACATCGTGGAGAAAGGCACGGACTTGATGTTCAAGGTCAGCTCGCCCCACTGTGACTCTCAGACCACCATGATCGAAGACCCCAGCTCGGAGCCGCAGAGCCCCTGCAACCAGCTGCAGTCGGCCTCGGCGCCCTACGTCATGTCCCCCTCCATGCCCATCCCGCTCCTCACGCGCGTCAAACACGAGAACATGGAGCTGCAGGCGGCCGCCCTGCCCGGCGGGCCTGGGAAAAGGCCCCTGGAAGCCGGCGCCCGGGCGGGCCGCAGGCGGCGGCGCCAACGCGGGGCCCCTGAAGCTCTCCCGCGTGTCCTACTACGGGATGCCCAACCTGGCCACCCTCATCCCCAACGTGCAGCAGGTGCAGTACTCGCAGGGGGAGCGGACGAGCCCCGGCGCCAGCAGCATCCCCACCACCGACAGCCCCACCTCCTACCACAACGAGGAGGACGAGGAGGACGACGAGGCCTACGACACCATGGTGGAGGAGCAGTACGGGCAGATGTACATCAAGTCCTCGGGAGGCTACTCTGGTAATGGGCGTCTCTGTCCTTGGGTTTTCTGCTCCCCTGCAGGGGTTGCTTGGGCCTTGTCTGGCTGCCACGGGTCAGTTTGGGTTGTTCATCGGGCTTTGGTCTTTGAGGGCTTCGTTTGTTGGTTTTTGTGGCGCGGTGCAGGAGGCGATGCATGTGGTGGGCTTGGTGCTGTGTCCGGGTGTGGCATGGGCAGGTCCTGCCATGCCATCGCTCCTGGGTTGTGTCCCCAGCTGGGAGGCCCTTTAAATGAGTGGCTGCATCGTCCACCACAGTCACATCATCCACCATGGTCACATCATCCACCACGGTCACATCATCCACCACGGTCACATCATCCACCACGGTCAGCTCAGCCCTTCGCTTTTTGGCTGAGGCTGCCAACAAGGGGCCTGGTGGTTGCATGAGCCCTGTGCTGGTGACACCCGTCCCAAGGTGAGGATTGAGTTCTCCTGCCATGGGTCATCTGAGAGGGGTGGTCATCCATGGGAAAGGAAGCATCAGTCCTTGGTGGCCCAGTGAAGGCTGGGTGGTTATTTTGGGAATTAGTCTTCAGCGAGGTGCCAGGCACGGTCCCCCTGTCCTGGTGTTTTACAATAAGATTTTTTTTAAAGTGGTGAATGTATAAGGAAGAAAAACATCAACTAAATCATTTTAATAGGGGTTAATTAGGAATATCTTCACAAAGAAGAAAAGGAGGACTTTTCTCCCCACTGCCTGAAGTGCCCCCTTCTCCTTAGCCAGCCTTGCCCCAACACATCGCTGTTGGAAAGGGAAAAGCAGTTTTTTGAGGGAGCTTAATTTTTTTTATTTCAGCATTAGAAACAGAACTAAGTAAAATTCCTCTCTTGCCCTTCCAAGATCCATAAGGGATGGTAGTGTGAATCCCTGGGTGGGCCTGAGGCAGAGGAGGTGGCTTCATTTTGGTGTTGCTCATCCTGGAGCTGCTGCTCAGCCCTGAAGTGGACACAAGGGCATGAGAGGCCCCTTCCCTCTCACTTCCTTGGACACACACCCCCTTTCTCAGGCACCTTGGAGGGTTCAGACCCTCTTGAGGATCAGGGGTGGGTACAGAGCCAGGGGCTCAGGACCAGAGGAGGAGATGCCCGCTGGGCTCTGGCGTGTCTGCATCCCACGTGGAAGCAACTCACAGCATCCCGCCTGGACGAGGCTGGCAGCATCCCACATGGAAGCTCAGCCTCGCAGTGGCCTCCCTGTCAGAGCTGCAGGTGTTTGTGGCAGCAGCTTTGATCCAGGGGTGCTCCCTGGGGAGGGACATCTTCCCGCCGGCTCCGGCCGCACGCGGCATCCGCTCACCTGGAGCCGCCTTCCCTGCTCTGGATCCTGGAATTGCTGGGCTGATGTTGCAAATGTTTAGCTCTGGTTTGTTGCTGAGCTGGTGTTGATCAGCTTTCCTCAAAGTGGTTTGATTTTAGTCTTAACCAAGGAACAAGATTTGACATAGGACAATTTCTGTTACCCCAAGCCAGGCTTCCCTAGTACTGGGAACAGGCTCAGCCTGACACCCTGTGCCATCCCATCCCATCCTATCCCATCCCAAGGAGCAGGAGCTCAGCATCCCCTTGGCATGTCCCTCTGCCAGACAGTGAGCAGATAAGCAATATTTTCCAAGCTTTTTTTCCCAAGCCGTGTGAAAAAGAGGGAAAGCCGTGCGGGTAGCAGGGTTACTATTTCAATATTAGAAATGTTTGCTGAGAAAAGTGGACCAGCAACTGTGAAAAATGAACCTCAAAAGCCTGAGTGCCCTCCCAGCTGTGCTTCAGGTCCCAGTAGTTGGGATGGGACGGGAGAGGAGCAGGATCAGGGATGGGGACAAGGTCAGGGTCTCCTCCACAGCTGCTGTTAGAGGCGGATTTAACAGAAATTGGGCTGTTTCTGCACACACTTGTTTTGATTTTATATTGCTTTGCTCTTCCCTGCTGTAGAGCCTGTGGTGAGTAATGTGGGTTTGCCTTCAGTGCTGGGCTCACACATTATTCCTCGGAGCAGTGGGATTATGCCCTTGGACACGGTGTTTTCCATCCCTGCCACGGGGCCAGTTCATGCAGAAACAGAACAAAATCAACTCAGAAGGCGAGGGCAGGACCAGCAGCTCTGAGGGTGTCCCTAATCCTTGCGGGGCAGGAGTCATCCCGGTTGGAAAAGTGAAAATCCGAGCAGCTTTCTCGGGTGTCACTGGAGATGCTGCAGCTCGTGCTGGAGCTGGGCATCCCACAGCCAAGTTTTCCTGCCTGTTTTCTGTAGGGAGAAGACTCAAACCACGTCATGATGCCGAGGCAGGGATGAGACAGGTTGTAAAGCCTCAATATCCCACATTTCTGCTCAAATTCCTCTTCCTCACCAGCACATTTCAGGGGAGTTTCCTGTTTTAAATAAGCCAGCTGTAGTATTCAGGCTTCCTGGAAAAGAGGGCACACAAGAAAGAGATTACAAAAAAATAAAACCTAAGCTATTCCATTATGGTTTGGACTTGCACAGCTAACTGTGTTTTAATTACTCGGGATAAACTGTACCCTCAAAAGGTGTGGAATAATAAACCCGTGAGATGGAAGAGAGAAGGCAGCTAATCCTGCTCCTGGCATGTCGATCCCGACAGCCTCACAAAGGCCTGGGGGAGGGGGGAGCCCTGTAAAATAGGGATTGCCAAGGTTTCCAAGAGCCCTGTTTGTGAAAACAAAAACAAAGCCAAAGAGGAGCAGAGCAGATGAAGCCCTGAATTTCAGAGAGGGTTGGTTGCAGTGGTTTTTTTCCTCCTTTTTCTCTGCTTTTTCATTCTCCAGCTGAAGTGTTGACTGAGCTCATGCTGGTGAGTGTGTGGTAGGACACTGGTGGCTGGTGCTCTTCGCTTGCCTTGAACATCACCCACACCCATGCTGGGGTCATCAATCCTCTTCTTGCCCCAAGACTAGGGGGGTTTTATTTATTTTTCTTCACCTCTTTTTGTACTCAGAACCATTCTGAGTCTCCAAAGCTGGATCAGAGGCACATCTCCAAATCATAGAATCATTTAGGTTGGGAAAATTCTCCAGATCATCACGTCCAACCTTTGACCAAACACCTTCTTGTCAGCTAGACCAGGGCACTGAGTGTCACGTGCAGTTGTTTCTTGAACACTTTCACTGTGGTGACTCCACCACATCCTTGGGCAGCCTGTTTCAATGCTTGACCACTCTTTCCATGAAGAAATTATTGCTAATGTCCATCCTGAACCTCCCCTGCTGCAACCTGAGGCCATTTCCTCTTGTCCTCGCTTGTTATGTGGGAGAAGAGGCCGATCCCGCTTTGCTCCAACCTCCCTCCAGGTAGTTGGGGTCAGAGAAACAAGGAGCAGATCATCACCTTGGCCAAGGGTTTGGTGGTAGAAGAGGGAGTGAGGAGTTGAGTGATGTCCCTCCTGCAGTGGTGGCTCTGGTGTGAGGGACCAGCACAAGTGTTGGACCTGCAAAAGGAGCAGCAGATGAACGAAAGGACAAGCCCAGGGTTAAACACAGGCCGATGGGAGGGTCAGGCTTAGGTGTTGGTAGACAGGGTGGCAGCTTGCAGAGGGATGTGGGAGAAGGTGGCTCAGCTCCCACTGTCCTCTGGCCACACTCAGTGGCCCTGGTGGTGTCACCATCGTGGTGGCAGGACGGGAGCACTGCGGTAAAATGGCTCCTCGTTCCATAAGTAGGTCTGGCTGTGGAGAACATGTGGGCCTTGAGGACACGAGCGAGACTTAATGAGGTTTCCAGCATCTGATCTGAGGAATGCACAACTCCAGAAAATATTAAACAAAAGCAAAGTATTTTTATCCCTGTTAATTACAGCGTCGTGGGCCTGAGCTGAAGTGGGTTTGAGCAGGACTTGCAGATGCTCGGCGTTTTTCTGCACTGAGCCACGTTGTTGTCAGTCAGCTCCAAGCTCAGCAGATGCAGTTAATTTAATTTTGACAGGCACAAGTGAAGTTGTGTGAGGGTCCGTCCTCCTCCCCTGCTCCTGCTGCACCGGTTTGCAGGGGAGAGGAAAAATCTTTATGCAGCAAATGGCTGGAATGTAAAGGCTGGACTTGAAAGTTATGAAATCCTGAACTGACAAGAGCACACTTCATTAAAAATTCATCTAAAATAGCCATTATAGAATAGTTGTGGTAATTAGCTGAGAGAATAGTTTTCTCTCCTGGCCTCTGATTCCTGACAGTAAGGAAAGAGGGCAGGGAACAGCCCAGAATCCAAAATGATGCAGCCCGTGCAGATCCCGACCCAAGCCTGGGCACGAGGCGCTGCAGCGACGTAAATCACGGCTGTGCTGCTGGATAATTGCAGCCTGATGGAGGAGCTGGTTCCAACTGCAGGAATGTGACCTGATCCTACAAGGTCCCACTTGTCCCTGCCCACCCTGCAGTGACCAGTCTGACCCTGGGGAGGGGATGCTCGGCAGCAAAGAGCTCGTGGTTATTTAGGAAATAAAGCGGTCAAGGGATGCCTTGGTTATCCACCAGCTCACTTTGGAATTTTGCTGCACGATTCAAACATCCCAACTGCTGGAAGCTACTCTGTGTGGCTTTAGTTGACGAGGTGCTGATTGGACTGGATAATTTTGGAGGTCTTTTCCAACGTGACTCTGTGGTTCTCTGTGCCGACGGGAGCCGGGCAGTGCCGGCATCTCCCACCCCGACTCCAGGGCTGGTGGTGCTGAGCGGGAGGAAGGCTCAGGAGAAAGGCTGAGCCCCACACTGGGGGCTCACAGCCTCTGGCCTTTTTTGGCATTAAACTTCCAGTCCCATTTTCCTCCCTGTAAAACACAGATGTTTAATTTTAGGCTGGCAGATGTTTCACTCCTGGCTGAGATCTGAGGCGAAAGCAAGATAGGGGTATTTATAAACCAGTAATATTTTTCCTATACTAATTCCAGATTACCTCCCTGTATAAATAGGTCACAAATCAAATCTCTGCATTCCAGTAGGTTGTTGTAAATGTGCTGTTTGGACAATGTAAACTCTCCCCGTTGGGACTCTGTGATGGATCTGTCCCGTGGTGTCTGTGTGTGTCCTCTGGTACAGGTTTACATATGCAGCAGATGCTGGTGATGCCATGGCAGGGATGCTATTTTTGGGGTAGTCAGCCAGTGGAAAATAGGCTGATGGGATAGAAATGTTGGTGAAATGGTGCTGTTTGAAAAGAGGCTTCTTGCCATGTAGGGAACAGGGGAGAATCATCCAAGTGTTGCATCCGTAGTGACTGGTGGTGCAGCAGGTGGAGGTGGTTTCTCAGACCTTTTCTTCAGGGCTTGAGACTTGTGGTTTCATATTGGGACTGTCTAAACATTAACTTTTGGGTGAGGCTCCATCACTGCTCTTTCTGTATCTCCAAATTCCATTCCTAAGTGATAAATTGTTGTTTTGTGCCCATGGGAATGTCTTGAAGTTTATGTGCAGTTTGGGGAACCCAAACTGGTGGGAATTGGGGGTTCATGAGTAATTTCGAAGCCCTGGTGTTTGGACTGTCAGGAACTAAGGGCATAAGTGAGTGCTGGTGCCAGGTGTGTGTCCAACCATTCCCAGTGATGCCAGACCCCTGAGCAGCTTGTTGCCCATCACTGGGGAGGGTCAGTGTGGGCTCAGCATCTCTGGTCCCAAACACCTCAGGTGGGATGTGCAACCATCCTGGTGTCCCCAAACCCTCATGGGCTCAGCACAAAGGTGGTGTGAGGGACTGCTGAACAGGACAATGTGTTCTAGGGACAGGGTGGACATGTGCCCCAGTGTCATGCAGAGCCTGGAGCTGTGGAGCATGGACCACTGAGTTAGCTTGAGGCTGTTTTTTCAGCCAAAAAAACCCAGAAAAATGGATATTTCCCATTCTGGACCACCTGTTGCAGCTGCAGCATCCATATAAGTTTGGGATGAAAGGATATATCCAAATAAATAAAATATTCCAGTGTTTGGCTGGCAGCTCCCGTGGCTTCCTCCGTAATGATTTCCTGCCCCTCTCTGCTGGCTGGGAGCTCCTTTCTTGGTCAGGAACAAAACTGTATCAAACAATACTTCCCATTGTTTGTCCTTTCATTCAAAGGGAAGGAGCCGCTGCCCTCTGAAGATACAGATTAATTAGAAGCAAATACTATCCTGTTCTCCGGAGCATAAAGGCCAAACAGACTGGCTTTCTTTGGAAACAGGGACCAGAGTGGCTCTTGTGTCCTGCTCCTTTACATAACTGATTGCTATCTGCTCCATGGAGGTGGCACTGAAAGCCCAAAATCTCTGACAGTTTTTGTTTGGTGTCGTTGAATTCGTGCTAAAGCCTGAATGGAAACAAAGCCCCCAAAGTGATTCAGGGCCGTGTTTAATAAGAGATTTATAGACAGCGAGTCAGCAGGGCAGATGTAACCAAAATCCAGGGGCGGGTTGAGTTACAGTTGGTCTTTTTAGCTGCATTTTGGGTTGTTTTAAGAAGTATTTGATTTCACAGGAAGAAACAGAAACTTCTCCGTGGCTCCTTGTGTAGGAAGTGAAATATTATCAAAAGCCAAGCTCTTCCAGGCAGGATTGTCTTCCTGAAAAGCTACTTTTCTTTCAGGCAGCGGGTTTGACACCAAATCCAGGTTTTTCCAGGAAGGTAGAATGAATATAGTGTTTGTCCTGATCTTTCTCTTCCCTGCCTTATTATTGCTACTCTCTTTGACCCCAAAATTTGGGATTTTATTGGATGTTTGCCTGTGGAGGGTGGCAGAGCAGTTAGATTTGTCCTTGTCCACTGGAGCTGTTTGCACTTGGATGTTGTAGGTGTTTAATTTCTTCAGTGACACCAGTCTTGAGAAAGACACTTGATGGAAAAGGGAGAAGGTTCAAGGCTGAGTTCTCCTCTTCCCATCACAGGCTGCAAGGATCTTCTGCTCTGAACTCTGTCTCATTTGGGTTAAAGTAAAAATGCAATATTAAAAGTGCAATTTTACACAACCCGGGCAGAGAGCTGTGCTCAGGAGGGGGGTGTATAGGTTATATATACAGCTCAAAGGGGTTATATATATAATTTTACCTTTTAATTCAGTCTGTGTGTGACCGGCAGAGGACTCTGGTGGGAGCCAAAAACCCCTGGAAGGACAGCAGAGCAGGACTTCCCTGGCTGCTGTTTCCTCCATACCCACCACCCCTCTCCTTTCGGTTTGTTTAATCTGGAAAATAATAGTATTTCATTGGATATACTCTGCTTATCACTCCTTGAAAGCCTCAAAATCTCAGATCTTTGAGATTCTCCCTTGGTGTGAGCAGAAGTTGAGCCCCATCTCCAGTGGGATCTTGGATCTGGACACTTGGGAATGCTGCTAAACGGGGAATGTCGCGGCTGGGGAGAATTCTGTCTGTCAGTGGGGCTGTGATGGAGAGAGAAGTTTGGTTTAAAAACATCCTGTGGGTTCTTCTGCTGCTCTTTGGTCCTTAATCCCTGAAGGATGAGGAGGGGGCATCCTCCTGGTGTTTGGAGTTTTTAGGGAAGGAGGGAGCCCCGAGGGTGGGATGCTCCCAGCCCCGTGCCTGCGATAGGATGCCACGGCACAGCCCGGCGTGCCGGGCATGTCCTACTTAGAACAGTGCTCCCATTGTCCCAGAGCCATCACCCCCTGGTTACTGCAGCAACAACTCTGCAAAACTTGTTATTTTATCTGGAGAGAGGAAAAGTGGCCCCCAGAACTCCGCAATAATCGCAGGAAAAGACACCTCTGGAGCAGGAGACATTTTGAGTTCAGAAACGCTCCTTTCTGCGGGTTTTTGCTTCTCTCTGTGTGCACAGATATTGAAGCACAGGGCTGGGTTTGATTTTGTACTTGGCATTTGACACATTATCAAACAGTTTGGGGGAAAAAAGGGGGGTCATTGTAGAGCTGGGCTGCAATTCAGCACTGTAGCTGCTCCCACCACACCCTGGAGTTGATGTACACCTGTTTTGCTGTCAAAAATTATCATTTTAAGCAATCCTGTGGCCTTGGACTGTAAATGTGATTTAGAAACAAATTTATGCATCCACAAGTCCCAGACTTGGCAGTGCTGGTAGGACTGCTCAGTACTTCCAGCTTTTCCATGGAACTGGTTGCTACTGGGCAGTGGAGGGCTCTGGGGATGGTACATTGGGGCAAGCTGGGAAAATCTGGTGTTTTGGTTTTGGTGCCACATCTCACTAACATTTTTTGGCTTTTGGTTGGGGTTTTTCTTCTTACTGAGAGGAAATGTTGGCCTGGAGAAGGCAGAGGAAAAGAAGGCACTTTGGAGGGTGAGCCAGAGGTGCTGTCCTTGGGAGAGGCTGGGGTGACCTTTCTGAGGGCAGACAGTATCTGCAGGGCCTGGGTTGTAACTTCAGCAGGAAAAAACCATCAAGAGAAGTAGTTATGGTACTGATGCAGATGTTTATCAATTTACTGCCTGTTTTAGAACCCTCTGGTGAAGTTACCTGCCGTTCTTCTGGGAGCGTTTGGGAAGCAGCTCCGTGTGCTGCGCTGGCAGAGCGATGCCAGCTGTACAGAGATGCCCATTTTCATAAATGATTAACTCAGGAAAAGTTAAAGCATAATTAGTTTCTAAGAATCCCTCTTGCAGAACGTGAAGCTGCTGTGGTGGATGGTGGGGGGAGACCAGGGGATTTTCCTGTGCTTTCAGGTGGCACCTGCCCTGCGGCCGAGCGAGCGCTCGTACATCTGGAGGGAGGAATATTTCCAACTGCTCCGTGGAAAAGTCGAAGCCTGACCTTCTGGTGGTGTCGTGCCTGCATAATAAGTTATTTTAACAGTTTTCCCTTTTAATTCTTAAGTTGCTCAAGAGAAGCCGGAGCAGATCCCGCTGGAGAACCGCTCCTGTGTCCTCATCCGACGGGATCTCGTTGCTCTCCCAGCCAGTCTTATCAGTCAGATCGGATACCGCTGCCACCCAAAACTCTACTCGGAGGGAGATCCTGGAGAAAAACTTGAGCTCGTTGCAGGTAAGGAGGGGTAACTTCTCCTTGCTTGGGAATACCTGGGAATCGCTGATGTTTCCCTTCTGGAACTGTGTTCTCCATCTTGCTGGAGTCGTGCGTCTTGCTGTGCCCTTGCTGTGTCTTTCTGGAAATTATTCATCACCAATCATCTTTTAAAAAGTTCTGAGTTTCCTTTAATTTGCTGATAGAAAAATGTGTCATTAACAGGATTTATTCAATTGAATTAATTTAGCATTTTAATTGAATTCTGCAGCTTGTGTTCTCCCCGCTCGGTGTGAGCTGCAGCGCCAGCGTGTTTTCATTTAGATGCTCAGATCTAAAAACCCAACAGACCCCCCTCCAAAAAAAAAAAATTATCACATTATAAGATTTACAAAGCAAAGGAGATAAAATTTGTGTCAGTGAGGAAGCTTTGAAAAACCTGTACAAGTTTCTTTCAAAATTTACTAAACAGCCAAACGCTGCAGCGGGAAGGAAGAGAAGGAATTGAGTTTGGTCCTTTCAACTATCTTTATTTTCATTTTGGGGGGAATTTACAATATTGGGAGAATTTGCTCCTTCTCTGTAAAGGATTTATGGCCAGTGTGAGGTGGAAGTTGTTTAGCTTTTGATGACACTGGTGGTGTAGAGTTGATGTAGTACCTGTAAAACCCTTGGTACAAAAAGGACGTGTGGCAGCACAATCCATCCAAATCAGTTGTTCTTCCTTTCTGGTCATTTATCTCTTGGTGAGTAGCATGATTTTATTTTCAGTCTGTAGAAGGAATCAGGATTTCAGAGGATGCCCAGAAAGGTTTCCAGCTGATGGAGGGTGGGACTTTGATGGAAGGCAAAGCACAGTGTACGACCACAAGTATTTCTTTTGTATCTGGAATATTCATTTTGTACCCATTTACATTTTCTGTGAGACTTCTTAAAACCATCAAGTGGTGCAGGTTATTTTCACAGTGAGAGCTGCAAATTGGCTTGAGGCAGCTCTGCTTGATTTACATTTTTCAATCTGGAAAAAAAAGCAGATTAATATCAGTAACCGATAGTGGCTGCCTCGGTTATTTATCATTTATTAAAGTGAAGTTCCCCTCGGTGGTGTCTGGTGTTCACTGTGATGCCTTATCTCTTCAAAGACAAAATAAACCCAGCTAATTCCTGTCTCAAACCTGGGGAGACCTGGGGGGGGGGGCTTGGTCCTGCTGGGAAAGTTTTCCTCAACTCTCCATTGGGAGCGTTTTCCTTTTGTCTCTGATTTTTCGTGCCAGGATTGATTCTGCAAACTTGAGCAGCAATCTCTGAGAGGGTCTTCAGCAAGGCTTGCAGTCATCCCAGCCCATCTGAGGGACAGAGGCTGTGCCTGGAAGGGAGTGTGTGGAAGATAAATAGGGGACACATACATGGAATGAGTTGGAAGGGACCCTTAAGGGTCATTGAGTCCAACTCCCTGTTGCTCACAGGACTAGGAAAATTCAAACTAAAACTGCTAAAACTAAGACTACTAAAACTCCAAAACCTCATTACATGGAAGAGAATACATGGATGATGAGGCTGAGAAGTGGGATGGCTCAGAGATCCAGGGGGTTGCTGGATCCTGGGATGGAATTGGTGGCCCGCGTGTGGCAGGGAAGGTGCAGAGGGTCAGGCTCAGGCTCTGCAGCTCTGGTTTCATCCAGGAGGTCAGGAACAGTCATCTTTCCTGGAAATGCAGGAGGTGATTTTATTTCTCTGGTAGGTGTTTTTATATCTTGAGAACAGAGCGTGTTCTAGATCCGGATATGACCCATTATTTAATCTTAATTAAAAGCAAATACCAAAACCCTCTCATGTAGCAGAATGCTGGAAAAAAATCGAATAACATCTCCCTGGAAGCCAATGCTGAGGCAGGAGTGGTTTGTCTGTGTGCAAAGTAAAAGGGTTTGGTTCAAAACCTGCTGTAAAGCTCTGCCAGACCCCTGGACATGTCCAGCTGCTTTGCAGGGGCTCCTTTTTCTTCCTGAAAACATCCTTAAAGGCAGCATGTTCAAAGTCAGCCATTCCTGTGCATTAGAAGGAAAATTCCCTGCTCGCCAGAGGTATCAAGAGGTGATGGGCTGGGCTTTTGGAAAGGGTTAGATCTGTAACCAAGTACCTTTTCTGTGCTAGATAGGGTTTTTCTTTCATTTCTAGTTACAGTCTTTCACTGGAAAAAAGAAAAGGTCAAATGGATTGGGGTTTTCTCCCTTCAGAGAGAATAAATAATCTGATCTGTACATATAAAATCACAGCATAAAGCCCCGCACTGTGTGTGTTGGTGAGAAAATAAGAGTCCTTTCATTTGAATTTCCATGGACTTCCTTTCTGTACAGATAAAATTAGGAGCTGGGGCTTGCCAAGGCCCCAAGGCACCGTGATAACAGTCCCTGCTGGGCTTTTCCACAAATCCCGCCGTCCTCGTTGGGCTTCCACAGGAGCGCGTGAGGAACATTCTCCCACCGTGTCGGGCCTGAGCGGTGCAGGAGGAGCTGTTGGTGGCTCTGTGAGCGTGGCAGGGCTCTAATTTCGGGTTCTCCCTCTCCACCCTTCCAGGCTCAGGCGTTTACATCACCCGGGGGCAGCTGATGAATTGCCACTTATGTGCCGGTGTCAAACACAAGGTCCTCCTGAGGCGTCTCCTGGCCACCTTCTTCGATCGGTACGTCCCCCTGCTCCTCGTGCTCTCCCAGGGGATCTGTTCCAGTCATTTCCTGGAGGTTTAACCTTGTGCCATGAGCGTTCCATCCTCTGCATGTGCTGCTCTCTCAGTTCTGTGCTTTCTCCCAGTGTTGCTCGAACCCGGTTTTCCATTTCCACGCGCAAGGTTTTCCAAGTCCTTGCCTTAAAGTCACATTATGTGGTGATCCCTCCATCAGAATCTGAAGGGAGGAGGACAGGGCTGGCCCCTGGAGTCCCCACTCTGAGGATCTTCCTTTGCCTTTCCTGCAGGAACACACTTGCCAACAGCTGCGGAACTGGAATCCGGTCCTCCACGAGCGATCCCAGCAGGAAGCCCTTGGACAGCAGAGTCCTTAATGCAGTCAAATGTAAGGAGAGAGATGTACTGCTGCCTGGCTGGGGCAGCATTCCAAGGGCAGAGCCCAGACCTGAGCAGGGAGGGCCATCTCTGTTATGTAATAATGGTGAAATTAAGTTATTTTTTAGTTTGCATCATTTTTTGATTGCCCAGAGAAGCTGTGGCTGCCCCATCCCTGGAAGTGTCCAAGGCCAGGTTGGATGGGGCTTGGAGAAACCTGGGATAGTGGAAAGTGTCCCTGCCCATGGCAGGGGATGGAACTGGATGATCTTTAATGTCCCTCCAATCCAAACCATTCTATGAGTCTATAATTTTGGGGGGCTGAAGTTAATTTTTGGTGGGTTTTGGCAGTGTCTTCATATGAAACATAATTGCTACTGGACTGGTTTACTCTGTTTTAAAGCACTCATTTTGCAGTTAATTAACTTATTGATAGGTGCTCTAAAAAGGTTATTTAAATTGTGGGTTTGGCAACAATGAGAGCTGTTGGTCTTCAGCAATAAATGGGCCCCCAGGAACCAGGGAAGCCCTCAGCTGCTCCAGCCCTGCTGGGTGGGATCTGCTCTCCATCAGCTGCTCTGTTAGTTTTAGTCTATTTCCTTAAATATATTTGTAAACTTATTTTTTAAAAAATATACATAAAATGAGAGCCCTGCTGCAAGTAATTGGAGGTGCTGGGGAGTGAGGAGCTGGGTATTGTAGGAAACTCTGAGGGGTGCAGAAAGCCCATTATATACAGTGGAAATCAACGTGTTCTCTCACCCTGACTGGATTCTGGAGGGTAAATCTTTACCTAAATATTACTGTGCTGGAATACGAAACTCTAAGCAGTTTTTTAAATTTCTTTTCTAAGATTTGGAAGATAAATCTTTCCCCTCCCTAATTGTTGCCATGCTGCTGAACTCCGGGGGCCTTCCAGCCACCCTGGGAGATCTGTGGCACGTGGAGAAAAGGGATAGGATGGCAGATGTTCAATAATGTGATGGAACGTGGTGCAGTCAGCTCCCTGTTAGCAGCTTCACCCTGGAGAGTCCCAGGGCTGCACCTTCCAGCTGTGGTCCTTCCTGAGGCTGGAAAGGTTTCTGGATGTGTCCTGTGGCGGGTTTCAGGATGGCTTCTCCCTGCCTGGGTTTCACCCTGTGCACAAGTTTTAGTTGATAATTATTCACCGTGGCAGTTCCTTGGATGTTGCTCCATAACATCAGGTGCTTGGCTCCTGTGGAGGAGCATGGTGAGGGGTCGTGGGGTTCTGCAGCTCCCAGCTCCTGCTGGATCCCAGTGGATGTGCCAGTGGAGTTGGAGCAGCTGTGCTGGCCGGGCTGCTGGTCCATGCAGGGGACAGGCAGAGGACAATCCTTTGTGCATCCCCCTCAGCTCCCACATTTCCCAGGCTCCCTGCTGTGCCTGCAGCACTGTGGGTTTAAGAGCCATCGGTGGAACTGCTTCTGAGGAGTCTGTGTGACCTTTCCTGTGTCCATCTCTGGTTTGGTGGCTGAAGGTACCAGCTCTGGCTGGAGCCTGAGGCTGCAGGCAGAACCTGGTCCCTCTGGGGTTTGGGGCCTCCCAGAGAGCGAGTTATCCTTGTCCAGCCCCCTTCCCCTGCCACCTGGGATGTTTATGCCTTCTGCTTTTATCCCTTCTTGGCTGTGTCTGTCTCCAGCTGCGGAGCCTTGTGTGTGAGTGTCTCCTTGGAGAGCTCTGCTCCGTGGGCGAACCTCCGCCCCGTGGCACCTGCCCACGCTGAGGTCTCTGGGATCGCCTTTGTGCCGCCCCTGTGCCGGTTCCCGCGAATCCTCAGCTCTGTGTATCCCTGTCTTTGCAGTGTATTGTCAGAATTTTGCCCCGAGCTTTAAGGAGAGCGAGATGAACGTGATCGCGGCCGACATGTGCACCAACGCCCGCCGCGTCCGCAAGCGCTGGCTGCCCAAGATCAAGTCCATGCTGCCGGAAGGGATGGAGATGTACCGCACCGTCATGGGCTCCACCACAAACAGTGTCCCCCTGGATCCCGAATTCCAGCCCAACACTGCTCAGGTCTTCGAGCAGCGAATCTATGCAGAAAGGAGGAGCGACTCGGGAACTATAGTAGCCTTGAGAACTAACACAGTGAATGTAGAGCTGAGCAACGGATCCAACCAGTCCTTCGAACAGAGCGAGGACGCCGAGGGGGCCGGCTCTGTCATACAGGAGGCAGCTGCCACAGATGCCATGGCATCGGATACCCAAAGCACTCCCCAACCTTTTGAACAAGGTTCGGGCTCCTCCAGCCGGCCCGAGACTCCCGTGAGAAGACAAGATGGTACTTACGGAGGGACTTTATAGAGAGAGCAAACATTTCATGACCTATAAGGGATCTGTAATACTAAAGCTGCTTGCATGCATTACTAATACAAAACAAAAAAAAAATGTGATCAAGCCACTTACCTACTGAACTGCTACTGTTGCCTGAAAAAAATGTGATTTTTATTCTGCTTGTATTTAAAATTTATGAAGGAAATAATCGCATTCGTTATACTGTAAACGACTAGGTCTGTGGCGACCTACTTAAAAAAATATTGGGCTCCTTTTTTGATATTCCTGAGGTTACTCTATAAGATTGTAGCTTTTTCTTTTTTTTTTTTTCCTTTTTCCTTTCCTTTTTTTTTATTTTCTTTCTCGTTTTGTTTTAAGAAGGGGAGGAGAAAAGCTAGCCACCCCCCCCACCCACCACCACCCCGTCATCACCCCATCCATCACTCAGCTCAGAAGTAAAGCCATCGTTAACCTTGTCCTCTAAGGGAAGTTTTGTCACTGAACAGGAAAGCGAGGTGTGTTCGGGTGCAGGTGCTGTGACTGGCCGTGTTTGTCTCTGGAAGGGCTCGAGCCAAGTGGGACAGGGTGGGGGAAATCTGGTGTCAGAGGGAGAGCCCCGGGCCGTGGGTGCTGCGGGGCTGGGCTGCGGTGCTGTTGTCCCGGGGAGTTTCATCCAGCTCCCGGGAGCTGGGAAGGTTCCTTGGGAGTTCAGGCTGGCACGTGTTGGGAGGACTGTGTGGGATGCAGGTGGAGAGCCTGGCCGGAGTTGTGGTTGTTGTTGGTTTTTTTTCCCCAATACGGCTGGGGTTGGGTTTGGTTTCTCCCTCCCTCCCTCCCTCCCTCCCAGCTGCTCCTTTTCCTTTGCTTCTCCGCGTTTGCACCTTCGCGTCACCCGCTCCCGGGCGGACGGGCTCGTGTCACCCCCTGCACCAGTGCGGGTCCTGGGGGCACCTCCTAGGGGGGAACACCCCCTCCTCAGTGCCTGTGAAGGGATTTAGGGAGGAATCTGAGCATGGAAAGCACGTTGTTCTTGCTCCAAAGGGCACGGAGCCGGGAGCTCTTGGCATCGGCTCCCGGCGGTGTCTGCACCGGTGGCGTGCAGGGCTCACCCTCTGCCCCCTCCCTCCTCTCCAGGCCAACCAGGCTCTTGGCTTTTAATAATTTGAAGTGTATTGAATGCAAAAATTTTTTAAAAAACCCTCTAGATTTGTGCCCTTCTGTGAAGAGGTTTTGGGGAGGAGGAAGCGTTTTGCCTCCTGCTCCCCCTCCGACAGCCCCTTCTGGGGAAAACCCAATGTGGAGTTATTTCGTCTTTGTTTTCGTTGTTGCAGGCTGATGTCCCCAGGCTGTGGTGGCTTTGGTGGCCCCAGCTGGCCCTGGGATGGGAACTGTGGGTGTCCCTGGAGTCTGGTGGGCAGCAGGTACCAGCTCTGCCCCTACAAACCCCAAAGTGACCGGAGTCCTTTTCCACAGATCCGGCTCCAACAGGACCCTGTGGTTCCACCCAGAGTGCTGGGGCTGGGCTGGAGGACCCCGGGCACCCACAGGGATGCCAAGGCCAGGGTGCCCCCAGGGGATGGGGGCAGTGACGTGAAAGCCAAGTTTGGCTTTTTCCTTTTTTGCTTTCCTTTTTTTTAATGCTGATTATTTTTACTGTGACTTAATGACCTGCTTTAATGACATTTGCAGCTTGTTCTTTAACACATTTGGGACTAGGAACAAGGTGCACAAAGAGTCACTTTTTGGCTGCTGTGGCTGTGCTCCTCTTTTCTTCCCTGCTTTGGTTCCCGAATCCAGACAGCGCTTTTGCTCAGGGTTTTCTTCCTTCTTTGTATTTCCATTGGGAAAGGGGGAGCGGGGAGAGGATAACCCAACTTTTGGCCATTTGTTTTGTTTTCTTTGATACTTGAAGCAGTTTTTTGCATCGTAATAACAAGGCTGCCCAGCCTGTGCCACTGCTCCTGACACAAAAAAATCAGCGATGGGGGAGTTCCTGCCCCATGTCTTGCACAGCTTGTGGGTTTTGGCACAGCTTGGTGGGGGGACTGTGACACCCTGGACCAGCTGTCAGGGGGCTGATGCTGGTGGAGAGGTGTGGGATGCTTTGGAAGAGTGGGAATGAGCACAGCCAGGGGCTCTATTTGCACTTTACCCACATCACTAAAAGAAACTGGGGACCACAGGGCTGAGCTCGGGGTGGGCTTTGTCCCCAGCCATCCCCAGCCCTCCTTGGCCCTGGGGGTGTCCCCATGCCCCCCACAGCAGCTGCTGGAGGGCACCTTGGTGGGGCTCAGGGGGTCAGGTTTGGCTGAGGACCCTCCTGATCCCCAAAAGTTTGGGTTTGCCAAAAGTTTTGAGGCAAGCTGGGAGCGGATCCGGGTGTCAGAGATCAGAAGTCGTCCCTTCTGTGTGTGTCTGTGTGCATATATATATATAAATATAGAGAGAAAAGATATTGCAAAGGATTCCTCCTCCTTTTTAGCACTTGCTGGGGGTGGGGAGCAGGCTGAGCCCCCCAGCTGGGGGCTGCACTTGGCTGTAGGGATTAATTCTGGACCAAACCTGTTCCCAGACAGCCAGCAGGGCCTCCAGGGGGGCAGCAGCAAAGTACTTGAATGGCTTAGGACAGAGAGTCTGGAGAGAGTCAAGTTGCACAGTGAAAATATATATTTTTATACCTAGCACAACTTCCTGTATATTTTGGGGGTTTTTTTCTTTCTTTTTTTTTTCTCCTTTCCTCTTTTTTTTTTTTTTGATTTGGGTTTGTTTTATTAATTATTATTATTGTTATTAGGAAGGCAAACTTCTAAAATGTGAAGGGCGTTGGGTTTTTCCTTATCTGGTAGATGAGGGCAAGCATTTTGCACTAATGTTTCCTGTGTGTGGAGGATTAATGATATGTTTGAAAATGTTATATGGTAATGATTGTATTCTTCCGAGAAAAAAAAAAAAAAAAACAGCGAAAAAAAGCAAAAAAAAAAAATAACCCCTTTAAAACACTGAATGTAAGGTGAGAACAGAGCAGTCCATCGATTGTATGCGGCTTTCCTGAGTGCCTTAGAATTTTTTGATCATTTTTTTTCCAAGGAAAACGGATTAAGAAGATCAGATCATAACCGACTCCTTCCTCCTCTTTGTTTACGACACTATTTTAAATTCTAGAATTTGGGGCTGCTTTATAATGTGAATAGGAAACTGCATTCATCTAGGTCTGACAGTGTAAAATCAGAGCATCAGTATTTATGGTATGTCTGCACCTTTATTCTTAATGCTTGACTATTAGCAATATTACCTGTATATTATATATCTGAAGTTATACCAAGCACCTTTAAAGAGCGCAGAGTGTAAGCACCCCGTTCCCGCAGCTGCCGTAGTGTAGGACCAGCTCCTCTCCTCCTCGTTAGCGCTAATTAAAGCACCTGCCCCGCGCTGCCGCTCTCTCCCGGGGCCCGGGAACCAAACGGGCGCTGCATTGGGAACCGCGCCACCCTCCCGCCGCCCGCCCCGCGCTGTCCCGCGGGGACGGCGACATTCCCGCCCCGGGATAATCGGCCTTCCCGCCCCGGTTCCATCCCCGCCGAGGGCGGGAGCTGCCCCTGGATGGGGCTCGGGAGGAGGGATGGCAGCGGGTCCTTTGGTGCGGTTCTTCGAGTTGTGGTTTCCCTCCGGGAATTCCCTGCAGGGTGGGGAGCTGAGGTTGTTGGCACGCTCCGGGGCTCCCAAGGGTTCCACCCCCCCCAAAACTGGAATTGCCCCCGGCTTCGCCGGCCTTTGGGGGAGCAGAGCCGTGGTCCTCCTCCCAGCCCTCGGCCCCCGGGGTTGTGCTCAGATCCCTCGTTTTTCTGGAAATCCCTCGCTGCGAGTGGAGAAGGACCCGTGGGAAACCGGGATGAGCCCCGGGTGCCTCCCTGGCTGTGTGTGTGTGTGTCCCCCCCAGCATCCCATCGCCATCCGCAGCCATCCCGGGATTCAACTGCTGTTCCAAGTGTTCCTGCTCTCCGAATCGTCGTGCTGTGAGAAGGGACCCCCGCGCCGGGGCCGGAGGGAGGGGCGGGTGGGACCCCCAACCCCACTCACCCAGGGAGGGGGGCTGGACTCGAGCTCACTCCCTTTGGAAACCCCTCGACTCCTCCCGTGAGTTTCTTCCACTGTTAAAGCGTTTTGCACACACACCGGGAAAAAAAAAATATAATCGTGATTTTTATGTCAAGGTAAAAAAAAAAAAAGCCAAAACTTGCAATACTATTTTTAGCAGACGAGAAGAATAATAATAATTAAAAAAAAATTATTAAATAAAAAAAAAAACCAACTTGAGTATAAATGTATAAATATTTTTGACTTGAACATTTGGATGGCACTTGATTCAAATAGAACATTAATCCTTTGGACAGAATGTTTGGGATAAAAAAAAAAAAGGACTTAAAGTACAAGGTTGTTTTTAAAGCGTCTTCATAGGGTATTAAGTAGTACTGTAATTCATGACTGTTAAAAATACTTTCTGTGCTGTAAGGAAATCTCACAGTACCACTGAATTATGTTCCTCAACTGTCTCAGCCACGAACGATGCTAGCTTCTTTTTTTTTTTTTTATTTTATTTTTTATCGTGCATTATTCACTAGTATTTATGTGCTCTTACTCTGTATAGTTCAGACTGTTATTTTGTAGCCATGGCTGACACGATATATCAGTAACTAAAAAAAAAAAAAAGAGAGAGAAAAGATGAAGACACCCCCCCCTACCCCACCCCGAGCTGGAACTGTGCTCATAGCTGTTTTCATATGATGAAAAATCCATTTAAAAAAGAAAAAAAAAAAAAAAAAAAAAAAAAAAAAAAAAAAAACAACAAACAACAAACCAACCCAATGTGATCATTAATTGTAAAACGCTTTGTAAAATTCACATTTACAAAATAATAAAGTAAATTACAATTAAAAGATTTTCTTCGCTCTGTTTTCTGTTTTTCTGGGTGGTGGGTGGTGAACAGGACGGATTGTTCAGAGGTGCTGACGGGACTCCGAGGGTTCAGGCTCCCATACCAGGTATGAAACAACCCCCAAACTTGGCCAACTGAAGGGTTTGGCCAAATCTGGGGGGTTTTGGAGTTCCCTGCTCTGCTCTGGGCTCTCTCCTCCCTCTCCTGATGTGGTTTGGGCACCTTTGGGCTTTTTTTCTGGACCCATCATGCACTCCCCTCCTCCACACTTATAAAAAATAATACTGATTTTTATTCTTACTATCATTACTTAAATGTGCAATGGTGCAAAATGATTTAAAATTGAGTTTGCAGCCCCCTGATCATCACTCAGGTGTTTTGCTGCCAGAGTGGGGCTGAGACCGGAGGATGCAGCACCAGTTGAAAATGCCACTTCCCTGCTCCATTGGGACCTTCCAGCCTCTCCACCAGGGGAAAACCTTAACCAGGCTCAGAAAACAGAGGCAGGACAGCTCCTGGACACGTGGGATGAGTGTGCCAAGTCTCACGTGTGGCTCAGGCCCTGGCACAAGGTGAGGATGCTCCATGAGATGCGGCTGTGCCGCCACCCCTGCTCCCTGGGGACAGGGTACCAGGGAAGGTTCTCTGGAGCACTGGGAGGTCCAGGGGCTCCTGGCACTGCCCAGGATGGGGCTGTCATGGGGGATGATGTTCTGTCAGGGGTAGGGAATGGGGTTTCAAAGCTGAAGAGGCTGAGGTGGAGCGGGGTACCAAGGGAAGTGGGGTGTCAGAGCTGGGAGGGTGTAATTCTGCTCTCTGTCATTTTTGTCTTTTTTTTTTCTTTTCTTTTCTTTTTTCCCCAACCCAATTGGCCATAAAATTGCTGAGGAGCTGCATTTCCCTCTGCTTAGCAAAATAGAAGTGCCCAAAACCACTTGCATTTGGGGTTTCATTTAATCTCGTCTCATTGAAAGGAAAAACACAGAGACTTGGATGCTCGCGTACGGCGCATTCCGCCGCGTTACATAAACCATTTCAAACTGATTTATTCTAAATGAGTTGTTATAATCAGAATTTTCCTTATGAGCAGCTTTCTTGCAGACGTCAGTATTTCAGGGGGAAAGGGAAAAAAAAAATAAAACAACAACAACAACAAAAAAAAAAAGAAACCCCGAGCCCATCGTACGCCCGCTCCAATATTTCAAACTGATTACTTCTAAACACCCGCGCTAAAATTAGGTCTTTGGTGTGTGGTATTGTCAGAGTGGGTGTATTATGATCTGCAGAGAGTATAAAAAGATAAATGAGTTATTTAACCAAGAAAACGACGTCGCTGTGGAAATGTGCTGAGGGAGAGTGTGCAGGGGAGAGGGGGAGGCTCAGGCCCTGCAGGCCCTGGGGCTGCGGCAGCGCCGCGGTGTGAGGGGAACTGGGGGAGAAAGGTGGGGTGGGTGGGAAGGGTCTCTTTTTGGCATTAATACTGTTATTTCTGTTGCTATTGTTGTAAAACGGGAGGTTTCCCCCTGCCTGTGTGGGGTCATGATTTTGGTGGCACCCTCCAGGTGAGAGGGAGGTGATGGGGGCACCCACGGGTGCACTCTGCCCCAGGGCATTGAAAGTGGCTGTTTGTTGGTGTGTTGGGTTTCAGGGAGCAGCTCTGGGGTTTAAGACTTGGCCTGCCTTCATTTACTTGGGTTGTACTCCATCTGCAGCGCTGCACCCGCTCAAACTCCGTGTTTGGCTCTGCACCTCCACCCCCGTGGTTTGGTGCTACAGGTGCAGGTTGTCCCCAGCGTGGGGACAACCAGGGAGGTGCTGGGGGCAGGGGCCACCAGCCCAAATTCAGTGGGAGCTATTCCACTTGCTGCAGATTTAGGCGGCCCCAGGCAGATGAACTCAGGATCACGGAATATTCTGAGCTGGAAAGGGACCCACAAGAATCATTGAGTCCAACTCTTAAATGAACAGCCCACACAGGGATTGAACCCACAGCCTTGGCTGTGGCCAGCTGAGCTCTTCTCAGGGTCACACTTGTGTTGGCTGGTGCTAAAAGTGTTGGCCATGGCAGGGATTGATCACTGTAGCAGGAGTTTGTCATTGTAGTAGGCATTGGTCACGGCAGGGGTTGGTCATTGAGGAACACTACAGAAGGAGCTGATCTCCAGTGACTCCTCTATTGCAGCAGCTGGTCCCTTCATGAGTTGCCCATTGCAGATGTTGCCCATTGTTGCTGGTCCTTGCCCTTGTTGCTGGTCCCTGCTGGTAGGCAGCCAGCCAGCAGACTCTGGTCTGGGATATCCAGCTGCTCCCCTGTGAACCCGGCATCATCCCTGCTCTCAGCCACGTGGCAAAGAGAAGGGAGCAAGAGCAGCACCCCAGCAGAGCTGAGCCCCTGCTCACAGCTGGATCCACATCCCCCTTTCCCGAGGCTGTGCCCAGGGGGCAGCGAGGGGAGGGAGCAGCAGGAGGGTGTGTGCCAGGGGTGCTGGGGGTGCTGCCACTCCCCCTCCTGCCTCTGAACACGTGAGTGAAGTGTGAGATTGATGCCAGCAGGGCCCAGGGAGCAGATGCCATAAATCACATCCGGGAGCGCTCCCCGCGCCGCCGGCTCAGGAGCACTTCAGGCTGCTCTTATTTATATGCATCTTTTGCACCAAGCCATTTTATAATCGAGAGTGGAGCAGCACTCCAGCGCCTGAGATGGCTCAGGGAGACCGTGCAGGACAGAAAACACAAATAAAGGGGGAAGAGTAGGAAGTGCCTCACTCCCGACACAAACCACCGTGCCCGCCGCGCTCCGCGGTGCCGACCGGAGAGCACCGGCACCGAACTCCCTGTGCCACCAGCACGTCCATCAGCCACGAGCAGGGCTGCAGGAGGGGCTTTGGAGAGTTGGTGTAGGGTAGCTTAATGGGTAATAATGGTGATAGTTGTGATAATGCCACAGGGTTGGTGGAGGGGTGGCAGGGATGGGTTGGAGTTGAGCCCAGCGGATGGACACGTCCTTGGGGTTGGTGAAGGGGTGGTGGGGAGTGGGTTGTGCAGGAGTGGGTTGGAGTGATGGCAGGTGGGCACCTCCTTGGGGTGGCACTGGGATGGTGACAGCCCTGGGCAGCAGCAGTGGCACGGTGACAATGAAGACATTCATACAGGGAGGCTGCCATGGGCGTGGAGGTAACGAGGGATGTGCTGCAGGAGCGGGGTCAGGTGAGACAGCAACTGGAGTTTTGTCCCTGGTGATTCTGTCTGTGCTGGGCTGGGATGGGGCAGG